AAACTGAGGCTCAGAGTGCTTAACTAACTTGCCCAAGGTCCTACAACTAATAACTAATGAAGCCAGGATTTGAACCCACAAACACTCTATGGCCCAAAATCATTTTAAATGGCAAATAACAATAGAGGCGAATATTTAAAGTTTCTACTGAAGATGCACATTTTGCTCCCATCCAAATGGCTAAATCAGACCACAGTACTTTCTTCCTTTTCCTTGGGCTCCCATGTGGCTGATGCCTGGCAGAGCATAAGCCCTAACAGAGCACCACTTTGCCCAAAAAACTGATAGTGATGAGCACTTGGCCCTTGCTCGTCCATCAACCAAATTACTCTTAGTTCAAGGTCAAGAACAAAAATCACCCTGGGGAGCAAAAGAAGTTGTATGAGTCTGTGGGGCTGTGACCAAAAACTGGGGTGCTTAAACAACAGAAAACAATTGTCTGACAGTTATGGAGGCTGAAGTTCAAGAAATCAGCAGGGTTAGCTTCTGACGGCTGTGAGAGAAAATCTGTTCTATGCCTTTTTCCCTCAGCTCTGGTGGTTTGCTGGGAATTTTTGGTGTTTCTTACAGTTAGCATTCTCTCTGTATCTTCACATCATCTTCCCTCTATGTGTCTTTTTCTCTTCCTTTGCACGGTGTTCTGTTTATAAGGATGCCAGCCTACCCTGCTCCAATATGACCTTACCTCAGCTTAACTATTAGGTTGGTGCAAAAGTAATTGTGGTTTTTGTCATTGCTTTTAATAATTACACCTGCAATGACTCTTTTTCCAAATAAGGTCACATTCTGAGCTGCTGCAGGGTTATGATCTCAGCACATGAATTTTGGCGAGACACAATTCAAAATTCAACCCATAAAAGCAGTCAATAATCCCCAACCTCTCCTCTTGTCTGAAGACTTTGGGCTGGCTTTGGTTTGGGTAGACACTTAAATCTTTCTAGACAGAAGCGTTGTGGTGAGCCCCCGTGGCTATACACTACTGTGTGATCTGATGATCAAGGACTAAACAGAGACTGGAAAAGGGCTGTATTTTTCAGACATTGTCTCATTCCTCTGTTCAGTCAACATTACTTCTATGCATGGGAGTGTATTATAATGTGGAATGTAAAGAAAACAGAAAAGGAAAGCTCGACCCAAGAAACAGAAGCTGAGACGGCTTCAGGAGGGAGCAACCCTTGTATTGAGCTTTCAAAGGAAATATCTGAAAAATACAGCCCTTTCCTAGTTTCTACTTAGTCCTTTCCATTTTCGTGATTTTGTGAATTTAAGTCAACAGATACTTGTTGCCTACATGCCCTGGGCTCAATATTATTAAAGATGTCAAGTGAAATGAAAAAGTATAGCCCAGAGCCTCAACCCCCCAACCCAGGAGCTCTCAGGGTTATTGGAGAGACAAGACTTCAGTTCTGCAGCTGGAAAATTAACCAAATGGAGGTAGGGTGGGGACTTCTAGAATGCCAGTTCCCGGGTGGATCCATGTGATGCCAGTTTCAAAGGCCAGAAACTCCATTTTTGTTATCTGGCACACTGTAAATGAGAAAGCTGCGCATGGGTTTTGAAGACTGAACGCTCTGGAGCTGAATCCTAAGCAGACCTCCCTCTAGTCTGCCCCTACCTGTGTGATCCGGTGAGGTGCTTGACCTCTGGGTGAACTGTGCTGTAAAGGAGGGATAATGTATGCTTTCTAGGGGTGATGAGGGATTTGAGTGAGAGCTTAGCTGAAGCTGAAGGTCCCCTGAGAAGCTTTCTCCCCCTAAGGGTGATGTAAACTATCTTCCTTTGTACCTGTGCCCCCTTGGCTCCTGTGCACAGCTATTCTGAGCCTGGAATCCCTGACTTATCCTTCCCCACCTACTCAAGGCCGTGAGCTTCCTGAAGGCCCTTGCCTATGCTATTGCAGCAGCTTCAAGTTGACCAGGCTGGGGCCCTTCTCCAGCCTTGGGTGATGCCCAGGGGGAGCCAGTGGTGGCTTCTAGAGCTTTCTGCCACCATTCACTTTATTGTTGGGTAGAATCAATTGCCATTTTCTGAATCTTAGGTAGCATATCTGAAAATGTAGCTGCAGGACAAGTCTGTCACCATCACCGCCAGGTTGCCATCCCTAACCATGGGGACAGCCTCTGCCAAAGGGCAGTTGTGAGAGCCACTGTGGCTCAGGCTTCAGGCAACCCTGGGTCTGAGGGCATGACTCCATATTTTTGTCACACCAAAACTTGCACCCTACACACGGCCACTGTGTCTGCACTGATTGAGCTCCTGTTGCCCTAGTGTCAAGGGTGCTGGTGAGATTCTACCCCAGGGATTCTACCTGCATGGGATTCTGCCCCTACCTGTGTGATCAGGTGAGGTGCTTGACCTCTGGGCGGACTGCACTATAAAGAGGACAGCTGCCTACTTCCTACATCCCAGCTGCATGGGAAGTAGGCAGCTGTCCCCTTTACTTTACAGCACAGATGAGGGCATCTTCATCTTTGAATGTGCTAAAAGCTCAGCTGCTCCCTCTTTGCTTCAATTTGCTGTTACCCAAACTGCATCTTGCAGAAATGCTTCTAATTTTCTAGTTTGTGGATCCTACCGTTCCCCAATTTCTAGTAGAAACCTGTATTTTCCCAACAGTTATTGTGACTAGAATTTGGAAGGGGGTGCTGAGTAAATGGGTGTGTCTGGCTGTCCATCTGAGACCAGGACTCTGTTCCCACACTTGGATGCTTTGACTCCCCTCCTTGGCAAGAGCCGGTGCATTTCCCTGCAGCCCCGGCCCTGGCTCCCTCTGCCACCCCTATATGCACTAGTATCAGGGACTCGGCCACATCCAGATGAACCTGCCCTAGACTTCGCGGGAGGACACACAAGCCGCCCATCCCGCCTCAGCCCCACAGCCTCTGCTACAGTGCTTACCACATCCTGTTTTCATGGTTTGTCCATACCTCCCAACAAACATCGAGCCCCAGAGAACGGAGCTGGGTTAGAATCAAATTGGTTCTCGCACAGGGATTCAGCACTCTCTGCTTCATCCCACTTCTGTTTACTGTACTTGCTCGAGGTCAGTTTCCTTGCCAGGGATGAAGCTCGGGGAGGGAAGGGATGTCTATGCCATTCACCATGGCTTTCAACGCCAGATCCCCAGGGCCCTCACTTGCATATTGGTACACTGAGCACATCATTTTCCTCAGTGAGAAACAAGACAACATGGATTGAGCTCTTTTCTGAAAACATTTATTGCTGAGCTGGTACTCATTGTTTAAAATTTAGAAAACCTGAAAAGAGCAAAAGGAAAAAGCTATCACCCATCATTATTCTAGCATATTCCTTTGCCACGTTTTTTCCTATGTGCATAAAATTTGGTAGCCTGTTTTCCTTGTTTAACATACTATATTAACTACTTTCTTTTGCTTTTATTTCCATGTTTAGTGAGCACCTACTATGCAACAACTCTCAGGGGCTTAGGGACTGTGAGAGGCTCTGAAGATTTTAAACTGGGCCTGAGAATGCAAAGCAGTATTTCTGAGACAGAGAGGCAGGGGCACATGATTGAGGCAGAGGACTACCACCTTCACGTTTTAAAATGTGGGGAATGAGCTCTTGGCTGATAGAGGCAGCCACAGAGGGCACCATAAGTGAAGTTTGCACTAAAATCTGGTGTCTATTACACTGACTATGCCAGAGTTGCTTAATTTACACAACAGGAGAATTTTCAGGGTTTGCTAGAATTTCCAGAAAAGGTCAAAAGTGCATTTAATGAGGTCAGTTTTTGAATGGGGCCATTCCCTAAACAGCTTTTCTAGTAAAGATGTCACGTTTCAAAAGGGAAGATCGGGATCAACTCTTTTGGCCTACTGCCAACCAATCAGAAGGGATACTGGGTGCGGTGGGAGCACAGCCTGGAGGTGACCACTGGGTGGGACTATCACAGTGGCCCCATAGTTGACAGATCACAAGGAGGCCTGGGGGTGTCCAAGCAAGGGGCTGGATGGTCAGGGCAGGAGTAGAGGACCCTCAGGGGCTTAGGGACACAGCTGTTCACCAACTGGCACAGTAGCCTTTCAATGTTTTAGGAAACATACACCATAGCAGGGCACCCTGGCAACCAAACCCACCTGAAGAGCAACTTTTCCTCTCAAGTCATCAACACACACTCTTAGCAGCCAACAGACAGAGCTTTCCAATTATTGAGCAGATTACTTTAGGGCTGTACAGGTAGCAGGCCCAGGAGAGGGGTAGCAGGACATGTACATTCAGCTGGGTTTGAAAGCTGTGGGAAGCAGTGCTGAGATCAAATCCTCCTCATCCCCACCCACCTCAGGGTTGCTCTTCTTCCACCTCCCAACAAATAGACAAACACAGTGGCCTCAGGAGTTGCACAGCAGTTGTCACTGGTAGTAATGCGCTAACTCTTTATTATTGCAATGTGTGTACACTTGGAAGATGCACTTTGATGCTCTCACAATGGTTGAAAGAGGACAGGGGATCTCCAACCAGGAGAAGAGGAGGTGACTGAGAGATGAGGTGTTAGCTTGCACAGCAACTGTCGGTCATTCTTCACCGCTAAAACACAAGACACTCAAGCAGGCTGTTGACAGCTTCCAACTGGGGGGTTTTAGGCACAAGAATAGTAAATTGCTTATGGAGATCAGTGTAGCAGAAGGGTCAGGAAGCAGAGGTTCAGATTGCCTCTCTGCCAGACCCCAGCTATGAGATCTCTTAGGTTTTCTACATCTCAGTTTCCTCATCTGTGAAATGGTCATATCTCACAGGGCTGTTTAAAGAGTACATAAGATAATGTTCCCAAAGTACTTAGCACCGCATCTGACACAAAGCAAAGTCCAAAATAAAGGGAGCTATTAATGTGCAATTGCCTTCTTTTGAATTATTTTATTACAAATTTACAGAGTAGTTCATTTATTGAAAACTTATGGACTTTAAATATCCTAACTTTAGAAAAGATGTAGGAAGAAAAGATAAGACATGAGTTGTAATGTTATCTAACTTTGCTTTTATAGGTGGCATGGGAATTTACACTAGAGAAGGCAAGACAAATTGTCAAGAAGTCCCCGATTCTGGTAAGCACTCAGCGGGTAGAACGCCAGCCTCTTCCTTGGCATGCCCTCTCTGGCCCCAGCTCTCACATCCCAAAGGCAAGGACTGCTCTGGATATAAGCCTGCAATGCACCATAGCTACATGGGATGGAAGTAGGAACATACGCTGCTTCCACTTGTGTTTCCTGCCTTTTCACTGCTGCGTGGTTTTTCAGCCTTAGCACTGCTGACATTTGGGGCAGGATAATCCTTTGTGGTGCTGGCTGTCCTGGGCTTTGTAGGGTATTCAGTAGCAGCTCTGACCTCTACCTACTGGATGCCAGTGTACCACCACCCACCCCTCCCCAGTCACAACAATCAAAAATGCCTCCTAACATTGCCAAATGTGCCCTGGAAAGCAAAACACCCCTGTTGAGAACTGCTGCTTTTCAGTAAACCATCTTGGAGGAGGCTGTATCCTCCTGCTCCTCCACTTTCTAAAAATGTGACCTCAAGCAAGGTGCTCAATTTCACTGAGCCTCAGTTTTCTTGTTTGTAAGACAGGGATGATAATACTGTACTCCAGTGTTGGGACTGATAGAGTTGAGAGTGTAGAGAGCATCTGGGATCTTGCCTAGGACTTACCAAGTCCTCAATAAATGAGAGTTAAAGTTAGCACAATTTTTATTCATGTTTCCTTAATTTGTCCTCTTGTATAACAATACTCTCGTTCAACAGATAGAATGTTTACTTCAGATCAGTTTTCACAGGCTTAATTGACTTAGGCTCTGGTTGCAAATCAGCCCCATTTGAAAATGAAACAGAAAAGTACATCTTTAAAGCACGACATCATTGTCAATGCCAAAGATCCTGGCGGTAAGGAAGCATCCATCAGCAATGGGAGGGCACAGTCCTCATCCTTGGCTTCTCCCTGCTAGCTAGCTCATCGTTCACCTTGATGCACTGCATTTGAGGTATTATTGATTTGGCAACATAGAAATAAAAGGGAGGAAAATCCCTCATGGCTAGGCTTGCCAAATTTCTCAAGTAAAAATATGGGATGCCCAGTTAAATTTGAATTTCAGGTAAACAACAAACAGTGTTTTAGTATATCTAGTGCAATATTTTATCTGGCAACCCTGCTCACGGAGAGCATATGGGTTTTGATGAACAAGGCCAATAAATACATGTTAAGTGGCAATATGTAGACATTTCTACATAATCGATTAATCAATCACAATGTCTGCATTGTCAATCATTATTTAATTCAATGAATAATTAAGGGCTAACAGTAGCCTGATTAGCCAATTTGCTTAAGTTGTTGAATAAGATATTGAAACACCGTAGAAAACGCTTGACGACCCCCTTTAGAATTCTGAGCAGAAATGGAGAACAATACAACATGTATTTTATTCTTCTCAACACACTCCTAAGAACTTATTCTCCAGACATTGTTTACTTCACTAGCAAAAACTGGCTTGGCATTAACTCCTAATTGGGATTTTACAATTTTTTACTTCTGTCACCAGAATTGCAAGCATAATTCATGGAGCAGGATTCCAATAATTACTTGGGAGAAGTGAAAAAAAATTCTACTAAACAATTCAACAATAAAAATACTCTTCTGAAACCTCCACCAATTTGCTCTCCAGATTACAGCTATCAAGGAAAAAATAATCAGAAAATGCAAATAAGTATCTCTGAAAAAACTGCTCAGAGAGTATTGGCTGCAATTAATTCCACCGTGATGGCTGACATGACTGCAGACCTGGCCAGAGCACAGAAAGCTGCACTCAGTAGGTTGCATATCATTTCAGCACAGCCTATCAGTCAGAATTCAGACCTGGAAACAGTTATGCATTATTGAAGGAAATCAAACATTCCAGAGAAAGCCTGGATCTCAATGAGGCCTGGATAGGCTCCTAGAGGGGACATTTCATGGATTTGACAGAGCATTGAATATCTAACAGAACCTGAGTTATGGAATCATTTAATTCTCACTTCTACAAAGTAGACAGAGTATTTTGTTATCAACCCCATTTTACAGATGAGTACTGAGTCTCAGGTAGGTTATGTGCTCACCCCACATAGCTAGTAAGTGAGAAACCCCACATTTAAATCCAGAGCTAGCTATCCCCACATTCAATACCTTTTCTACCAGGCCAGTAGTTTTCAGCAAGGCCTCCTCAGTGCTAACCTTAGGGGAGCACCATTTATATCACAGGCTATGTGGATGTTGGAATCGTACAGTGGACAACCTGTGCAGCTCTAAATGACAGCCCCAATCACAAACCCACCCGCTCGATAGAATCATCTGGGAAGCCTTTACTAGTTGCTGATGTCCAAACCCCACCCCAGACCAATTAAATCCAGGTAATATAATACACGACAAGGATTGTAAAGCACTTGGTCACACAGAAATTCAATTTCAGCTTGGCCATGTACAGAAGAGTGATGACTCTCCCCCTTTGACTTTCCATGTGCCCCATTCAGCCCATTTTTCTTTATTCAGCCCCTGTCTGTTCTGCATTCATTTGACATCCTGGTGTGGGGAAGCTCAGGAATCTGGTTAAATAGATTGCAAAGCAAAGATGCTGCATGACTCCTATCCCCAGGGACAGCCCTGATTTGAGACTCTCATTTTAGATGGGATTAGATGCAGCCAGTTGCAATATTTTAAATGTATTGCTGAGTTAATAACAGCCCACATTTTATCTCTATCTAGCAAAGTTCAAATTGAAAGGAGGAGGCTGGCAAATAGGCAAGGAAGACCCATACAGTATTGCTCGGGGCCCATCTCTGTTCTCTTTGCAAGTAAATTGTAAGAGAAGAGTGGTCTTTCCCATACTATGTAACGAAAAGACCAGATAATGAAAACCTCTGTCTAAGCAGGAGGAGTTCTAGGGGCCCCTACATCATCTGCCACTTATTTCCTAACCCCAATTTTTACACAATGAATGGCAAAGGCAGCTGCAGCCACCAGGCTGAATTTTGAACGCAAACAGCTGTGTAATTATACAACTGCATTCTATTGTACCTTTTGTGTAGTAATTATAAAACTGTTCATATACATTTTTAAATACATTGGTTGTTATCAGTGTTAACATCTACATTGTGGTTAGGAGAATTAGACCAAGGACTTCAGACTAAACTGAATATTAAAAGAGCCTCAAACATTCAAATGCAACCTGACTTTGGACTCTGGATGTCAAATAGTGTCTGTACTTCCAAAGTGCCATCGATCATGTGGTAGAAGCTTATGCTGGTGCTTGTTTTGCAGTGTGACCACAACCCTGGTCTCAGTCAGCTACTGAGTCTCTGGAGTCACCCTTCTAACCACCCCTTCTGTGTGCCATCACCCTCTTCCACCCTGTTTCACATCAGTGCTTCTCAATCTGTGGCAATATTGCCCCTCACCCCCACCCTGGGGACATTTGGCAGTGTCTGGAGGTGTTTTTAGTTGGCTGCAACCAGAGGAAGGGGTCAAAACCTCAGTGTCTGGAGGCAGATTTGTGCTGCTGGCATCTGGAGGTCACAGGCCAGAGATGCTGCCAGCATCTCGCAGTGCACAGGGCAGCCCGCACAGCAAGGACGGAATTACTCTCTGCCCAACATGGCAATAGCGCCGAGGTTTGAAATCCTGAGATAGGGCCTTACGGTCTCTTATCTCAAATGATCCTCCTCCAGACCATCACCCCACGCCTTGAGATATCTTTCCAAAACACAAATTTGATTCCTCTGCCTGACACCTCCATGGCTTCCCCACAGTCCTCAGGGTAACATGTGGCGCTGCATTCCAGGCTCCCGGTCCTGTCTCCTTCCTTCCATGGTTCACTGTATTCTGCCACTCCGATGCTCCCGCCAGGTGGGAATGTTTGGCATTCCCCCAAGAGAGCAAACTTTCTCATACTTCCACAGCACTGCTCAGGTGCTCCCTCCACCGGGAGCCAGGCTTCTTCAGTGTTAGTGTGCATCCTACGGACCTTGTTAAAATGCAGATTCTGATTCTGTAGGTCTGCAGCAGGGAACGAGACTCTGTATCTCTAGAAGCTCCCAGGTGGCACTGATGCTCCTCATCTGAGATCACACCTTGAATGGCAAGGACCTTGGGCAGTGGTTCTCAAGCCTTAGTGGGCATCAGAATGACTTGGAGGGCTATGAAGGCATAAGCTGCCAGGACCCACCCCAGGGATTTTGATTCAGCAGACCTGAGGTAGGGATGTGGAAGGCAAGGATGAGCATCTCTAGCAAGACTGTGGCCCGCACTGTGAGTCACAAAGCCTCAGGCCATCTCTTTTCCGCCCCACCTGCCTCCATCCCGCCTCACTGCTGGGTCATCTGCATCCTCCTCCAGGTTCCTAGAGACCCCTGTTACTGCCTTGGCCTCTGCAGACCCCACAGGGTGTACCCAGAGCTGGGCTGTCCACCCAGGCCCTCCGCTTGACAGTGAGCTGGGGACAAGGACAGTGTCTATCTCCACGTCTTTTGTGGAGCTGGGCCACCAGTCAGGATTATTTCTCCTCCTAGAAATCAGGGCAGGCATCTCAGAAATCCTTAAGTACCTCATTTATATCCTGAAATGGTTGCCAATTTTCTCCTGCCAGGGTCAAATATCACCAATTCCCATAACACACCTCATAGCCACCTGAAGGACTCTGGGCTGGAAGGAATTCACAGTCTCTCTCCCTTCATTGATAAATGCTGGTGCCTAACTTTTCTACCCTGTTGTCTTCTTCTTCTTTAGTTTGAGGAAAGCATTGTGGAAACTGCAGTCTTTCTAAAAGCACTGTTTGGTAAAATGCCAGGGCTTCTAGTGTATCTCACATCTGGAGTCTCATAGAAATCGCTGTCTAGAACCCTATGGCTCAGGAAGCATGAGGAGCTTGGTCTGCGCACCTCTCTGCTCCCTGGGGGAAGGGGCTTTCCTTCCTCCCAGGCCCCAGATTGTGTCTCTCCCTTTAGTTTTTATTTCCATAATAAGATGAAATTATTTTGTTTGAAAATGTCCTTTATTTTTAAAGCACCTGGGTAGAGGAATGCTGTTGCCAGACCCTCCTGGGACAAGGTGGAGCTCGAGGGTGGCTGGGAAGCTGGGAAGAGCTGGCTGGGAGGAGAGGAGGAGGGCGGCCTTTGGGCTGAGGAGCCCGGTGAGCAAAGGCACAGGCCATGGCATGGATACAGATGGTGGGGACAGGAACAAGAGGTAAATTTAGAGAAGTGAAATGGGGCTGGATTCTAGAGGAAGGAGGATCCAGAAAGCTCAAGTACAGAGGGGCCCTTAGAAGGTGGGGAACCATTCCTTAAACTAAACATCTGTCTTTCTATTGTTTTTTTGTTTCCCCAGAAATACTCTGGAAGTGGTTCTGACATTTGTTCACTCCCGTTTTTGGCCAAGATCTGCCAGAAAATTAAATTGTATGTATACAATTTCCACCTTCCTGAGCACCAGCGTGTAATAACATCGTTGCTTGTCCCCTTTTTCTAATGACTAAAATGATCTTCACACTTAAAAGGCATCCCTGAAGGTGAAGGTGTTTTGTTCTCAAAACATGACTTGCACAGAAACCAGAAGACAAATGAGCTCTGAACACACTCGTTTGGGAAATAAACCGAATGCCAGCATCTTTGCATCTCAAAGCTTGATCTGTGCCCCAGGCTAGGATGCAGCCCACAGTGAGGCTCGCTGCCGGTCAGTGCCTGCCAGTGAGGTGCCCACTGCCCTACACCGGGAAACAGCCCCTCCCTGCTGTGTGAGGTCCGGACCAGGATGGGCAACTGGGCACGGCAAGAACTCTGGACATCTTCAGTGCAAGGCACTCGCAAGGCTGGACAGACAGCAACTGTTTTTTCACAGGGCCCAAACTATTACATGAGAAATCTGGCTCAGATATGTAGGAATAGGGTTGTGAATGCAGACACCGTCCAGAATTCCCACGCCCTCCTGTCCATGCTCCAGCTCCATTTTGAGTCTGGGTTATGCTACACATTGTTGTAGTAACTGCTGTTCAAAATATTAAAGGGTAAAACAATGTCCTCAGAGGGCATTGGACTCAGAGGCAAAATAGCATGGGATCTACCCTCCACTAATCTACCTCTTTTTTCTTCTTTTCTTTTTTTTTTTTTTTTTTCTGAGACACAGTTTTGCTGTTGTTGCCCAGGCTGAAGTGCAATGGCGCAATCATAGCTCACTGCAACCTCTGCCTCCTGGGGTCAAATGATTCTTCTGCCTCAGCCATCTGAGTAGCTGGGATTACAGGTGCCCGCCACCATGCCCTGCTAATTTTTTGTATTTTTACTAGAGATGAGGTTTAACCATGTTGGCCAGGCTGGTCTTGAGCTCCTAACCTCAAGTGATCTGCTTGCCTTGGCCTCCCAAAGTGCTTGAATTACAGGTGTGAGCCACCATGCCCATCCCACCAAGCTACTTCTAATGTGACTGCTGCTGCTTTGCTGCTATCAGGTATATGGGCACCATTCTAGGTGCCAGATGCTGAACTTTCAATGTTTCCTCACTTCGTTTCCACAACAACAAAATGAAGTAAAGGTTATTATTATTCCCATTTCACAGAGAAGGAAGCTGAGCCTTATAGAAGTAACTTCTGCTGGGCCACTGAGGACCCAAGATACACCCCCAGGTGTATTTGATCTAATGTGTTCTTTGTGAACATACATATTCTTGACTCCATTGCAACGCTGCTTCTTGAGCTGACTGAAAACTTGGGCCGCTTAATATCTCTGAGCCTCATTTCCCCAATCTAAAGTACAATGAAATTCTGCCTATTCCTCAGAATCATCTTGAAAGTTTTTAAAGTCCAGGTTCCTTGGCCCCAAACCTGGTGGGATAGTGTTGTGTTTTCTTGGAAATTTTCCAAGGAATTCTTAGGCCATTAGACCCCACACCTAGACTCCCGGCTGTCCATGTCCACCCCAACGCTTGCCCTCTAGTTCAGGTGCAAGACTGAGAATGCTACACATGCAAGGGATGCTTTAATTATTCGAAATAATGTTCTCTAGCTGCAAGATATTTATTTAACCACACAGGCTGCCCCAGCCCCTGCTTCTTTTACTCTTCCTCTTCTGCAGGAGCTCCTCTTACTTTAGCCTGTGCTAGTCCAGCCTTGTGGATAGTTAGACCCGAGAACACACAGAGGTGAGAATTAGGCTGCACACCTGGACTGAGAAGCTGTCACTTCCTATGTCTGCAGCAACAAAACACCACAAACTAGGTGGCCTAGAGCAACAGAAATCAACTCTCTCTCAGTTCTGGAGGCCAGAAGTCCAAAACCGAAATGGCAGCAGGGCCATGCTCCTACTGACACCAGCTGAATCCTTCCTGTCTCTCCCTAGCTTGCGATGGTGGCCATGAGGCCTTGGCATACCTTGCCTTGCAGCGGCATCGCTCCAGACTCTGCCTTCATCTTCATATCTGGCCATCTTCCCTGGGTGTCTGTCATTCCCTTTTACAAGGACACCAGTCCTATTGGATGAGGGCCTGCTCCAATGACCTCATCTTAACTCGATTGCATTTGTAAAGAACCTGTTTCCAAATAAGGTCACATTCACAGATACCAGGGCTTAGGACCTCAACATATTTTTTTCATGAACACAATGCAACCCCTAACAAAGGCACTTTTCCTCCTTCTGCCATCCTTTATCTCATGAGTTTCCTGAGCACTAAATCCACTGAACATCTCTCGTCTGTTGTGATAGCATCTAGGGAGAGGAGGAGGCTATGATTCAGACCCACATTCGGAGCCTTTAAACAGTTAAAAAGTCTTCCTGATCAATCTGCTGGCATAAGCCCCTGCAAGCTGGCTGTGCAAAGTGCCATTGCAGGTCCCAGAAATGGTAGCAACACCCCTTTTCATGACTGGGGATGAATGCAGAGAGCATTAGGATGTGAGGAGTAGAGGGGAGATATCAGACATGAAAGAAGATGCTGGAAGGCTGAGATGCAGCCAGCTCCCCAGGCCCCCAGTCATGTCATCATGCCTAGCTCCCATTAAATGGAGACCCCTGCCCCCTCCTTGCTGAATGCATTATTGTATTTTCTGTGTTAGATGTGGCCCAGCAGGACCCAACAGGGTCAAAGTGACAACTCTTCAATTGAACCACCTTTGAAAAATTGAATTCAAGAGCATCAGTGGCCAGGGATTTTTCTTGGTCCAATTTAAAGGGAAAATTATTCTTTTACGAAAAAGCAAAAACTGTGTTTTCCTTCTTTCTAAAAATCACTGTGTTTCAAGTGTCATATGCAGCAGGTCACAGTTGGTTCAGTGCTTTATGACTTACAGAGCACGTATACATACACATGCAGTCTCATGTATTCTTCAAAGCAATCCATGGTTCAGTAATAATCATGATAACTGAAAGTTGTCTGGTGCTGTCTATGCCCCCAAAACTGTTGCAAATCCAACTATTTAAGGTGAGCACTGTTATTATCTCCTTTCCAAAGAGATAAAATCATTTGCACAAGGTCACAGCTCTGGTAATGGACAAATCTGACCTTTGAATCCAACAGTTTGCATCCCATTGAACCCTCAACCCTTAGTCCTACACTTTAGAGGAACAAGGAGGTTTTAGATGCCTGACCCACTAGCATGGAGTCCTCACATGGTAGAGACAAGACCTGCCTGTCTTCTGTGGCATAGTCCTTTGATAAAATTCCCCCAGAAGGAATGCCTTACCTGCCCTCTGTCTCACTTGGTCTAATGCTTTAAAAATTCATTTGAGGTGTCCCCTCCCCAGGGATGCATCCAGCTCCCAGGCCACCTTCAGTCATTTGCACAGCCTTCCTGGGCCCCCGGCAACTCCTTGGTGCCCTCAGCTCCCCCTCAGTGACCCCAGCTCCTCAGTGCCTGCTCCTCCTCATCCCATTCTTCAATCCCTGCCTCCCCACTGGTCTCCCACACCACCCATAAGCTCCTGGAGAGCAGGGATCCCATTCTTAATAGGAGCAGCTCAGTGAAAATGAGGGACTACATAAAGAAAAAGCACCACTTTACCAGGAAAATAAATGTATAGCTATCAGCTATGACCACAGGGTGATCGAGTTTTTTGGAGTTCTGTTTTAATAAGGATACACAGTGCCTACACAATGTCTGTATTTTACTTCAACAGTGGTAAGTCAGGAGAATCCCCTTTTTAAAAATCTATTCTTTTTATTTAATGTCTATATGCAGAAACCCTCACATTATTTCACATCAATACATGCAAACCACCCTATCCCGTGTTGATTGTGTTAATTCAACACTATTTTCTTTTCCTTTTTAGCCTCCTCCTTCCCCATACGTTGCTCCTTCCACCCACAGCGGTCCTGCCCCCACCTCCAAGCTAAGCCATGTCTACAGGCAGGTGTGCCCTTCCATGGCTACTGTGTTCTCATTTCATTTGACAGAGACCTACATAACACATCCACCTACAGATGCAACCAACCCACGCCCAGCCTTCAAGAGCTACCTGGGACTCACATGTGAGGCAGGCACACATGGAGATTCATTCTCACTATTTTTCCTTTGCCTTAATGCCCCAGTTTCATGAAATAATTTTAGGGAGATTGAACTTGAGTAGCTCAATACTGTGTCATTAATAACATTTAGCTGTAGTTACAATTGCTCCCTGGACCAAGCCCACTCACCTGATACCTGGTGATATCTGGCAAGCAGGTATAGATCAGGGGCAGTGGGCGATGCCAGGCTGCATGGTAATTGGATAGAATGTCGTGTGGCTAGAAGCCTGAACATCTGAAGAGGGGCCATGGATTGGGCTGGGGATGCCTCTAGAAATCAAACCGTGATGACAGCAGACACCTGACTCCTGCTGTCCACCCGAGGAGCCATCTTTGCAATCAAGGTTCCCATTGCACATAACAGTAAGAGCTCGTGTGTTTTGTTTTGTTTTGTTTTCGAGTGCTTTCTGTATCTAAGAAATAATGATATTGATTCCATTTTACAAATGAGAAAACTGAGGCACAAAAAGATTAAATAATTTGCCTAAGGCCACCTGACAAGGCGACAGCATACCTGGGATTCAAACCCAGAGAGTCTAATTTCAGAACCTGGAGCTGTGTTAAAGGAATTCTCATGGCTTTTCCTTCCCACTACGATGCCCTCAGTCCAATTACTTGCCTTGAAAATGCTGTCTCATCCTTTAGGTTTCACCTTAAGATCACTTCTTCTCCCATATAGAGTTAGAAATGTTTTTTCCTCTCTAGATGCACAACCTCTTACAGCATTTTTGATGTAGGACTATAATTACCTTTTGATGCATTAATTTCCTTGCCCATGTCAAGCTCCTTGAGTTCAGGACTTGTACCCATCTCTGGTATCTAATATGATTCCTGGCATGCAGCAGGGACTCCCCAAACGCCTGTGGAATGAAGGAATGAAGGAATGCGTGAACATTTCAACATACAACTAGATATTTCTAAGGATACAGAAGGTATCAAGTTCAGATGCAATTTTGCAGAAATACTTTTTAGTAAAAGTCAACAGTGCCTTATCTAAAACTTTGGAGTAGCCAGGCACATTGGCTCATGCCTGTAATCTCAGCATTTTGAGAGACCAGAGTGGGATGACCACTTGAGGTCAGGAGTTAAAGACCAGCCTGGGCAACAGAGCAAGACCCAGTCTCTATAAAAACAAACACAAAACAAACAAAAAAAAGCCTTGGAGCCAGATATGATTTGAAATTCAGATATTATTATATTCTAGTAAAGTAATAGCACATATACATAACTTACCTGCTATCCCCGGCACCTCTTGATCAATCATATTTGTATTTTGGAGTGAAATGTATGAATTTTCACACTAAGTATGATAAAGTTTACAAATTGCCCTATATCAGTTCAGGTCAAGTTTTGCCACCAAATGAAGTTGTTGCTAAGTTGAAAAAAATTTAGGGGCTGCGAAGAAGGGACTGTAGAGTTTACACAAGCTGCAGTTTATGATACTTTGAGTACCCATGGCTTTGGTCAGTCACTTGGAGGCTTTAAAGTAAGCAGACAAAGTTTAATAAATCAGCTTTCCAATTTTAGAGACCATTCTTCGTTCCTTCTTTCAAGGACAAACTCTCACCCTCAAGATAACAACGGTGGGTGGGGATAGCTTTGATGCACACTCAAATGAGACCTAAATGAGACCTTTCCTCCAGCACCTTTTTCTTTCTCAGGCTGAAAATATGGCTATTTGGGTCCACACCATTTCTCTCTCGCTCTTCTCTCTCCTCTCCTCTCCTCTCCTCCTCTCCCCTCCCCTCCTCCCCCTCCCCTCCCCTCCTTTCTCTCTCTCTCTCTCCCGGCCCCCTCTCTGTTGGTCTTTCTCTGTCCCTTGCTTTTGCTCTCTTTCTTTACCTTCCTTTTCTCAACTAGAAAAATAAACGCCGTCCAAGAGGTCAAATACATATATGGGGAAAATTGCCTAGTCTCACCGAAAATGTGATCTTCAAAGCCTTTCCAAAACTTTTCTTAACAGCCACAACTTACGGTGGATGATTGCATGTCATTTGGTCCAAGCTTTTCCAGGTTTCTTGACAGATGATTAAAGTGAGAGAAAAGCATTTGTTGCTCAGAGTAGACAAGGAATGGGATGGATCTAAAAACGCTGGAGCATCAGGCAGGAAGGACCCCAAGGATGATCTTGCCCTGGCTCCTCTCCTGCGTGAGGGAAAGTAGCATTACAGCATCTGAGCCCACTGGGGAAGCTCCATTCCCCTCTGCTCCTGCCACGGGAAAATCAAGGTGTGGGTGATGGTGGGGGTGAAATTTGTCTACAGCCCACACCTGAATTGTTCCTGGACCATCTCCACCTTCCACAGGGCTGGTTCTCACTTTCCCTGTTAAGTGTGGATGTGTGCAGTCAACGAGTAGAACCTTTCTAATTTCCCACTGGTGGCTCTGTCTCTGGCCCTGTTCAACCCCCCACCCCAAATGGAAGGGGAAGGTGAATTTCCTCTTTCCAGCCGCAGGAGCTCATAACCACAGCTGCAAGCACTTCGTGAGGACCAATGCCAGGAGCTTTTCATGTGGTTTCCCTTAGTCCTCCCAATTAACCCTGTGAGGGAGCTGACAGGAGTCACACTTTACAGATTTTAAAATGAGGCTCAGGGACGTTAAATAACTTTCTGAGAATTGCAGAGTTGGTGAGGAAGTGGTGGATGGAGCTGTGATTCCAACTGTTGACTCCAGAGTCTTTACTGAACCACCATGCTCAACTCAGTATCTGGCAAGAGCACTTGAATTCAAAAGGATAATTCCTCTTGGGGACCCTAAGAGGAAGCTTGCTGCCTTGTCCTTTCAGGGTTCCAGCCTCCTCTGTTCCCCAGGGCAGGGATATAGGAAGGACTAGCAATGAGACATCAGCTTGAAGCTCTGTCTTCATTGGGTCCACCAAGTGGCTATTGACCCCCCACACTCTCTACCCTTTCTGAGTACCCTAACCCGCACTCACACATCCCAGGGCCCTCCTCTGAGTGGTCCAGTCAGGAAACAGAGCTGTGCAAGGTATCTCACATAGAGAGGATTTAATAAAAGGTACCAGTTTAAAAAGTGTCAAAAAGACTGAAAGAGTACAAAGGGAAAGGCAAGGCTACCCAGCTATGAGCACGACAGGAGGCAGCCAGCATCCCTAGCGGAACAGAGGAAGCAAAACACAGGAGATGATGTTCTCAGGCTTAGGAGGCCGCTTGCTGCTGGGTTGCCGGGGGCAAAACAAGAGGCCACATCGGCCAGTCCTGGAGCCATGGATGAGGGGCCACCCATGGGTGCTGGGCCCACAATGACTAGAGCTGGAGTCACCAAAGGGAACATTCAGAGAGAGACAGAGAAAGAGAGAGAAAACAACTTCTCCTCTCCTCCTCCTGCTCTCTCTGCCCATCAGTGCTAGCTCCAGTTCCAAAGGGAACCTGGTAAGTGTATTTTGCAAAATTCCCAGCAGAACAGTACAGAGCAGAATACAGGCTGCAGAACCCTAGAGGCTAATATAACCAGCACAGTGCCCTTCAGTGCTGGACCGAAGAGGCCTATAAGCTAAACTTCTGCCACATCCCAGAGTTCATAAGACAGGCTCCAGGGTGGCAGTTAGCATTTATTTGCCTTGAGGTTCTCAGAACTGTTAAGATGCTCTTGATTCAAAAGACTATTTAGTAATTCCTATAAAAGGTTGTGTTACTCACTCTAAATTCTAGGCTCCAAGGAAAGCCTCATCTTGCTGTTAATGACGGAGGGTGTCCAGTTTCTTGGCATCTTGAACCAAGAATTAGACAAAATGCACAAAGCAAGGAAGGAATGAAGGGATTTATTGAAAATGAAGGTACACACCACAGTGTGGGAGCGGGCCTGAGAATAGGGGCTCAAAGGCCCTGTTACAGGCTTTTTGTGAATTTGAATACCCTCTACTTGGGGTACATCCTATGTAAATGAAGAGGATGAAGTAAAGTTGCAAAGTCATTTATGGCATATGCCCTATGGAGAGGATATTTCCTGTTTTAGCTGAAGTGTGAATCGGCCGTATGTTCCCTGCCTCCAGACCCTATTTTCCTGTCTCTTTGCCATATGACTGCATTATTCTGCTGCTCTGTAAGTGATTTTCCTAAACCCGAGGCTGTGTTTGACATTTAGAAGCTGGGAAAAATCTGGTAGTGAGGATTCCAAAGGGGAAATCCCCCCTCAAAGAATGACCATGGCTTTGGCATGAATTTCTTTAGTCATCACATCAGGGTCCTTGGCTTCCCAGACTCATGAACGGGAGTGAAAGTTGTCAACTAATATCCGCTAAATGATCAAGATTCTCAGGATAAGTGACTGAAAAGAGTAAAATGTGAAGAAAAGATTCTATAACAGAATGCGGAAAATGGCAAAAATTCAGTTTGTAGTGCTGAGTTCATTGACTGGACTCAAAGTGTTGTCTCATATTTCCTGGGAATCTCAACATCGATACCCCTTGCCCTTTAAAATTTCAATTCAATTCTTTCACTTCCTTGTACAGGCCAAGTTAATATCAGAGAGAAAGCAGTTCTGTTGGGTGAAGAGCAGAGATTGGCAAAGTTTTGCTGGCTCTCTCTGATACCACATAGACTCTTAATTTTCTGTTTAGAATGGCCTGCTGTGGCATAAACTCAACACAGCTATATCAGAAAATGTCTATTTCTTTTCACCAACATTGCTACTTTTTTCTTAGCTCATCAATTGTTTTGTTTTCTTTTTCCTAGAGCTATAGAACGGTCTGTGCCATTCAAAGACGTAGATTCAGACAAATACAGCATTTTCCCAGTAAGTATTGTTAGAAATAACCAGATGTTCACTAATATCACATTGCTTCCTACAAATTTCTTTCCTTTAATAAGACAAGGCTGAATTTCATTTGAATGCATTATTCATTTGATGAACAATACATCATTTCACAATTTCTTTTCTTTTTTGAGGCTGAGTCTCCTTCTGTTGCCCAGACTAGAGTGCAGTAGCACTATCTCTGCTCACTGCAATGTCTGCCTCCTGGTTTCAAGTGCTTCTCATGCCTCCTGAGTAGCTGGGATAACAGGTGCACACCACCACACCTGGCTGAGTTTTGTATTTTTAGTAAAGTCAGTTTCGCCATATTGGCCAGGCTGGTCTCAAACTCCTGACTTCAAGTGATCTGACCACCTCAGCCTCCTAAAGTGCTGAGATTACAGGCATTAGCTACCACACTCAGCCCATTTCACTTTTTTTTTTTTTTTTTTTAACAGACTGTGTAGCATTGTGATGATACACAAGCCATTGAAGTAAATCTTAGGTCCAGACTGGTTTTGTTGCCATTGCCAGCTGGAATTCTCCATGGGGACTATAATTATCTTGAAAGGTTTTGTGAATTATTTCGGAAATTCTTAAATCTACTTTAGGTTACTTTTTAAACAGTGTGTGTGCATTTGATTCAGAACAGTTAAAATGTCAGAGTATTCTCTCTGTGAAAGCCAACAAACAAGTAACATGTCACAAATTCCCAAAAGTTTGGAAAATCTCATATATTCTACTTGGGAAAGGAGGAAATAAAAATATTATTTGACATTATCATAACTCTTGATTCCAATCATTCAGGTCAAATATTTAAACCTACATAATTAACCATTTGGCTAGAGACTTTAGAATTTCCAACAAAATTAATAATTTGGCCCAATAGGCAAATTGTTTCACAGCCTGAGAGGACTGATGGTTAATAGAGGGATTTGGGGGAGGTAGATGGGTCTGCTGTTTCTGGAGGTGCTTGTAGACACACATACATGAGCAAACACATGTACACACAGACACATGCACATACATCTACAATATGAATACACATAAACACACACATGCATATACACATGCCCCCATACATACACATACACATTCACATTCACACACATGCACCCCACACACACACATATAGGCAAACATTCAATGTCACACAACACACATGTACACACCCTACCACCTGTTATTGGCCCTGGTGTTATATTACACGTCACTTCACACAGCATGTCTTATTGTATTAATCTTAACTTTCTTAGTGCTCTTTAGTGATCCTAGATTGAATTTGAATTAAAAACTGTGGATGTCAATGCCATTCAGACAGCTCTGATTAACCTTCCTCGTGGATAACATCAAAGTGGGCTGAACCCCTCCTGTGTGTGCTCTTCAATTTCAGACGCTGCGGGGCTATCACTGGCGAGGGAGAGATTGTAATGACAGCGACGAGTCAGTGTACCCAGGCAGAAGGTAACTATTTCTGCTGGTTGCTGATTTTTAAAATTATCTTCAGAAAAGAAGGCAAGAGGTACATTTCCTTCCCCCAGCCTAGGGGATTCCCACTTACAGAGAGAAGAGGTTTTCATGTTCTGATTGAAGTAAAGCTCAGTGAAAAAAGAACAGCATTCATTCGTTCATTTGTCCAAGAAATGCTCATCAGGGACCTACAATTTGCCAAGCACTTTGCATCATGCTGGGTGGTAAACAAAATAGAAATATATCTCCTCTCCTTGAGGTTACAGTCAATTGGGAAAAGCAGTCAAGTGAACAGATTATCTTATTGTAGACATTTATCCAGCCTTCTGTATCAGTCCTCCATGCAGAATTGGACCCAGAAATAGTGGCCTGTCCCCCTGGGAGTAAGGAGAAGCCTCCAATGAATGGAAAACATGTCATACATTAGCCGTGGGCTGATGTTCAATTGCATCTCTGATATCAAAAGACAGGTATGCCAGCCCTCGTCTTTGTTGTGACTACAGTATCAAAGCATTAAGTTAACCAGTTATTTGGGCATTTAGGGGCACAATGGGATGCAGATTTTTCGTTAAGTTCATCGGCGCCATTCCACAACAATGCGGTCCATGAATATGGTCAATGATGAAAAAGACAGGATTTTGGTCCAGAGCTCCCAGAAAATATCCCAAACCAAGGTTAAAGTAAGGAAGCTGAATGGAGGCTTCTGATGTCACAACACACAGTGGGATGTGACGCTCTTCTATGAAGAATGCTGTTGTCTCTCCATGGCATTTCATGTAGCATTCATTCATTCACGCATGCATACCCAAAACTGACATTCACTGAGAGACAAGCCTATACTAAAGACCAATGTTAATGTTTTCTTCTTAGGCCAAACAACTGGGATGTCCATCAGGATTCAAATTGTAATGGCATTTGGGTAAGCAACTAAATTCAGCTTGAACCCCATTCTCCTGTGTTCTTCCCTCTCCCAAACTCATCACAGATCCAAGGAAACCTGTAACAGCCTCAAGCAGCTCTTTTCCTGCTGCTTAGAAATGGGGTTTAGAATCCTGACAATATGTGAAGAGTGTCAACGATGTCATGAGAGTGCAGGCTTTCTCAGTCATGGCTCCTTTAGGCCTTGCTTAAGGTCACCGACATCTAATCTCTTTATACTGTTTTGAACAGTGTGAAATTAAGTGAAGAGTGGTGTTAACAAAGTTTTACAGCAGCCCACACAGCTGTTGGAGGAAGCCACATGCTGTCCTTATTTTGTTGCCGCCATTTTTTTTTTCTATTTCATAAGCCTAGCCAGGCAGAGCAGAAATTACCCAGTATTTACCCTACTACTCACACCTTAAGGCATTTAATGCTGCTGTCCTAGTTCCCTATGAATGATGGATTTGCAGCTTCCAGGGAAAGAAAAAGGAAGAAAAGAGGAAAACCAAAACTAACACAGAAAGAGACTCGAGTTTGTGGGGTATTAAGCTTACATGATTTCAGGGTTCCTCATGAAGAAAAAGAATATCAAATTAAAAATACAAAATCAAATATGAAAATGAATAATTTTTAAAACAATCAAAAAAATCTTAATAAATTCCTGGAGTCTGAGAAATTCAGTTCCCTTTCTTTTGAGATCTTGTTTCTGATTTACCGGAAGTGTTTACATGGAAACGTGTTCGGATTTCTGCCTGGCCTCCCCTCTCCACCTAGAATACTCTATAGCTCCCAGTCACTCCCGGTACTCACATGGGCAGGGGGCTGGGATGGGCCCTGAAGCTTAAGATTCCCTAACTTCAAGATATTATTTTGGTGCAAAAGTAATTGTGGTCTTTGTAATTAATGCAAAAACTGCAGTCATTTGCACACCTACCTAAATAAATTATCTAAATTGCCTCTAAATAGTTGCTTCACGTATCTGCTTCAATGAAGAGGAAAAAGTTTCTGTAAATATTTTCCTCTCTCCAGGACACTCATAGCGCAGGCTTGCACCAACAGTCACCTGCTGTATGCTTTCCAGTCCCATGTCCTCCAAGATAAGGAAGGCATGGCAGATGGCTGTGCCCCAGCCCACGCCACTCACCCTAGTCCCTAGTCACGCCGCCTTTTCATGGAGAAGAAGACATCTCCCCTAGAGAGCTTAAGGTGACAAGATCCCCAAGTTAGCTCTTATTCTAAAAAACCCAGGTCTAGTTGTCATGTTGGAGGACAAAAGGGACTAATCAATGTGTGATGCCCTGTCTTCATTCCATGGTCCCACCCAGGCTGCAGACAGGGTGTGCCACCCATATAAGGAGGAAGGCCAAGTAAGAGACTGTACTAGATCAATGGAAATCCATCATGAGCTGAGGGAGGCAAGATGCAGAGCTCATCATCGGTGACGGGAGAAGGCATATCACCTTCATACCTATCCCCTTCCATAGAGGAAGCACAACTCACAGAACCACAACATCATAAATTCAGAGGGAGTCTTACAACCATGAAGTCCAACCTTGCCCAGAATGTGTCCCGGGGACCCCAGTGTTGAGTGTGATATTAATAGGTTCTTTCATGTTTTAATGGGCAGGGGGAGCTCCCGAGACTGGTGAGTAAGCACGCTCTTGTCAACACATCTCTGATCAGCAAGTGCTTCCATCCTGGAATACTATAAATAATCCTTCCAAGGACTAGCAGCTCTACTAAGGGGCAGCTTTAACTTTAGGTTTTAGGATATCCCATCCGTGCCAATTCAGTCCCATTCACAGACCCAATGCTACGTCTGGGTTTCTTAATCTGGGCACTATTGATGTTTGGGTTGAATAATTCCTTGTTGGAGCTGTCTTGCAAACTATAGGATATTTAGCAGTATCCCTGACCTCTCTCCACTAGATGACAGTAGCACCCCCAGCAAAAAATGTCTCCAGACATTGCCAGTGTCCTCAGGGGGTAAAAGAATGTGCAAAATCAACCCCTTGAGAATTGCTTCTTTGGAAGCATCAATCTTAGGTATTGAAGATGTCAGGACATGTAGACCTCCAGCTCAGAGACTGCGGAATCTGCCCAGACCCTGTGTCCCAGTCACGCAGTGAGCCCTCCATGCTCTGAAGGGTGAGACCCCTGGTCCAGGCACCTCTCCCAGAACTCTACCCGGCATCCCCTTGAATGAGATGTCCCAGTGTCTGGCTCTCTCTTTACTCCCACCCTCAGTTCCTCCCAAACCCTTCTCACTCAAATGGGGCGCTGCTATGTTGAATTAGGGACTTAAGAGACTTTAAAGGGTTTTGTCTACTCATTTGCCTTTGTGCTTTTAAAGCCATTTAGGAGAGATTTAGTGTATCTATCTCATAAATTTAAAACCAAACTGCTAATTGCATCATTTTTCTTTTAAAGGGTGTTGATCCAAAAGATGGAGTTCCATATGAGAAGAAATTCTGTGAAGGTATGAATTGTGGATGTCAGTCTGGTGACGACGAGGGAGTGTTCTTTCCTAGTCTGAGTCAAATTGAAGCGAGCAGACCACCTAAGTCAGAACATGCTCGATGCTAGGATTTACTCTCTGCTGACCAACTTACATTTTTTTCATGACAGATCAGAAAAAAAAATGATCTAAAAGGTTCAGAAAAGGAGGAACGGGGGCAGAATCTTAAAAAAGCAAAACAATTTGTGTAATTGACTCTTTTACTTGAGGATTAGGCTGCAAAATGAATAAAAGAGCAATGGAAATCTAGCACTTTTCCAGATAAGAAACCAAGCAGCAGAGATAACTGACATTTTTTAATCTTTTGCATTTTCCTCTAATTACACTGCAAGGTCAGACACCTGGACTTCTACTGATGGGATGAGTCTCTGTGTCCACTAGGCTAAAGATGCATATCTGAAGGTCTGAATGACTTGAGACTGCCAGGCTATAACCTGTGAGGGCTTCCCAAAAATAGCTGAGCAAAACTCTGTGCCCTAAGTACCCAGATGGCACAAACATCTGCACCACCAGTTCCATTGGGGAAACCTCACCACCCACACATTACTGAAAATATGCTCCTGGTGATGCCAGCACTTGATGGTAACATCACTGTTTTATGTTTAGGCAATGCTTTTCTCCCCAGTTTCACAATCACCTCGTTCATTTATTCATTCATTCAACAGGCATTTTCTGAACAACGATTTCAATTCTAACTAAGAGCTATAGTTGGCTCTGAGTTTTCATGGAAAAAAAGTATGTCGTCTTTGCATTCTATCAACTTAAAGCCTAATTGTCCTTAAGCCCTCAGAGGGGAAGAAGAGGGAAAGAAAATGTAAAGGCTTATTACATATATATGCAGTTTAGAAATATTTGTTGGACGAATAAAAGAACGAATGAACAATTAAACCAATGAATGAAACATAGGCAGATCTAGGTGAAGCCCTGGTGCAAAGCCTCTTAGATTCCCCACATCCTACTCTCCCTGTGCTCCCCAGGATGTCCTGGGCCTTCTTAGCCCCCATTTGTGTGGCCAAGTAGTGGTAGCCATGAAGCCCAGGCTGAGGAGCCACTGAAGTGGTAAATTGTAGGATATTTAGCAGTATCCCTGACCTCTATCCACTAGATACCAGTAGCACCCCCAGCAGAAAAGTTTCTCCAAACATTGCCAATGTGTTCAGGGGGTAAAGGAATGTGCCAACTTGACCCCTTGAGAATTGCTTCTTTAGAAGCATCAATCTTAGGTACTGAAGATAGCAGGACACTTAGACCTCCAGCTCAGAGACTGCAGAATCCGCCCAGACCCTGTGTCCCAGTCTCTCAGTGGGCCCTCCATGCTCTGAGGGGTGAGACCCCGGGTCCACGCAGTGAGACTAGGCCATCCTCCTGCACGGTTTAAGGCATTTGGAAGTGGAAAAGGAGGTGCCTCTCTCTGCCTCTGGGAGGCATCAGTTGATTCTTTGAGGATCTTAAGGAATTTGGAAGAATGTGTTCACAGGTGAATGATTCGCGTGGATGGACCTCAGAGTTAGATTAAGTGATCCTGAACCTCTGACCATACAGGGCTGCATGAAGACCTTTCTATCTCTGCCTCTCCATTAATCGGCCATAATCGTCTATCCAGCGCTTTTACCCGTATGGATTAAGGGCTTTAAAAGACCACAACGTCTTTGAAAAATCAAAATCACTCCATAAGATCATTAACCCTTAAAGTGAATTGTAATAGACATCGGTGTGTTTTGAAGAAAGTAATTTCCAGAGCCAAAATTTAGGGCATATTTCTGATTTCAGATAAAGCTTTGATCCATTTATTCATCCATCATTCACTCATGATGTTGTACAGCAGTTTGTTTTATGCTGAGCTGGGAAGCACACCAAACACACCTGAGTCTCCACATCTTAGCCAGCAGCTCCAATGGCCTGGAAGTCCCATTCAGCTCCTAAATGCTATGCCCCTCACTCTCAAACATGCAAAAAGTGGTAATGCATTGCTGTTATAACACTCGGTGCCTGGAAATACACACTAGGGTATCTGCTCTCATAACTCTCCAGTCTGGAGGTTCCAAACTACTTGAGTGCATAAATAATATAAATAAATTGTGCTGCCCAGGTTCACAGCCCAGGGGAATCATTTTGCTGGGAGACTCAGCTGGGGCTCATTTTCACATCTCTCCTGAATGGATCACAGCGTCACAGATGTCTTTGGTAAGTAATTTTGGCAGTAATCATTCCAGATGTGCTGGCCTTTGTTTTTGTTTCCCCTTGCTCTCTCTAAATGCGATGCCAACTCCAAACAGGTGCAAATTTCCCGCTCCAGCAAAATCTGCCACAAAAGGCATATCCACAGTCACTTCAGTCCTAGACAAATGTCAAAAGTTTCCTTCTACTCACCTCTCCAGCCTCAGCCCAGCTGCTGCCAGGAACCCTGACGGCAGCAGTGAGGAGTCAAGAAGGTGGAGAATGCATAGAAAGGACACAGCCCACCAGGCTGCCTTCCCCATGGAGGTCAGGATGAGGCACTCTGGGGACTGTCCAGCTTGTTTTTTTTTTTTTTAATTTTAAGTTCTGGGGTACATGTGCAGATCGTGCAGGATTGTTACATTGGTATATGCATGCCATGGTGGTTTGCTGTATCCATCCCCCTGTCATATACATTAGGTATTTCTTCTAATGTTATCCCTCCCCAATTCCCCCACCCCCTGCTATCCCTCCCCTAGCCCCGCCACCCCCCAACAGACCCCAGTGTGTGATGTCCTCCTCCCTGTGTCCATGGGTTCTCGTTATTCAACACCCACTTATGAGTGAGAACATGCAGTGCTTGGTTTTCTGTTCTTGTGTCAGTTTGCTGAGAATGATGGTTTCCAGCTTCAATCATGTCCCTGCAAAGGACATGAACTCGTCCTTTTTTTATGACTGCATAGTATTCCATGGTGTATATGTGCCACATTTGTGCATGTGTCTTTATAGTAGAATGTTTTATAATCCTTTGGGTATATACCCAGTAATGGGATTGCTGGAAAAAAGCTCGTCTTCACTGGTCATTAGAGAAATGCAAATCAAAACCACATTGAGATACCATCTCACACCAGTTAGAATGGCAATCATTAAAAAACCTGGAGACAACAGATGCTGGAGAGGATGTGGAGAAACATGAACGCTTTAACACTGTTGGTAGGAGTATAAATTAGTTCAACCACTGTGGAAGATAGTGTGGTGATTTCTCAAGGATATAGAAATAGAAATAACATTTGACCCAGCTTGTTTTTTATCTGAGCAAGCAGGAAGCACTGGGCTGAGCAGGCTGCTCGGCTCCTGATGGCCACTGCCGTGCTCCACAAAAGGCGTCAGAAGACAGACAAGCCTGCCATCCATTCCCAAAGAGCAATGAGACTCTCCTGGAGGGCTTTTTAATAAAAAACAAGAAGAGGGCCACAAGGCAAGTAGCAAACAATGACAGAATCAGAGAAGGCAAAGAAAGGGGAAAGAAACCAACATTTATTGACTGTATATCAGACATCAGCCTCTATAAGTGAGATTTGCATGAATTACTCAGATGAACGACTCCTAAATGTGACGTAGACATATAATGACAACTCTGTATATTCCCAGTTCATCACCTGCGCACACACTTGCTGCATTATCAGAAGGACCATTATTTTTCTCTCAAATTGTGCAAACATCTGGGGAGAATGTGTGGCAAAGGGTGGGAGCTGGAAGGTGCAGGGAAGGGCAGTCTGAATGCCACACACCCAGGCAGCGGGTACATAAATGCCACACCCATAACACCCTGCCCAGATGTGACACAGTAGCTCTGGGGCATTACTTCTGGATGGCCCTATCAACCAACACAATAAAAATGGTGTAACACAATGTGAGCACATTGCCACAATAGGCTCATCCCAAGAGCCACCCTGTCCATTAAGGAAGGGGGTGGTGCCCCTGCCCTCCAGAAAGGGATGTGGGCACAGTGGGGAAGCCCTGTCATACAGCCACCTGTGGACGCACTTCCCTTTTCCCTCTCCCAAAAAACTGAAACTGATCCAGAAGTTAACCTGCAGAAATTATCATTTTTCCTTGACCTTCTCTTCCTAGGTTAAAGAAATTGAATATGAATTCAAACATTCTGATTGAATCTCTTCCAGACCCCATAATAGGAAAGCATAGACCTCCCTCTGTAAAGATGGGCAAGTGGGGGAACACATCTGGATATATATAAAAACTGCTCAAGAACACAAATGATGGTGCTCTTTGGAAAAAAGTTTAGGGAAGGAAAGAGAGTGACATTTTGTAAAATGTTATATTCAGGTTCTCAACAATAATGGAGAGGAAAATGCACACATAAAAAAGGAGAACTCAGAAATCAGGGAAGAATTCCTCAAGGTGAAACAACGACCTGATAGAAAAATGCAGCGACCATACTCACTTGCAAGTTGGGTGATGCAGAAAACAGGAGTGCAAAGCGATCAGGCAGCTGGGGAAATTCTGGGACTCGGGGGAAAAAGGCTGGATGTGAAAAACAAGAGGGAAGATAGGCATGCAGGAAAGGCCCTGGCAATTGAATAGAAACTGCAGAAAAAGAAAAGACATCAGGCAGAGAGGAAGCTGTGACTAAGTAAGTAATGCAAGAGTATTTTCTTGAGTTGGGGAAATCCATCTTCAGCCCGCAACCCCCACTGTGTGCCAGGCCAGGGTATAAAATAGACTGTCTGTGTTTCCTGCTTTTCCTTATTTATTCCAAGGATAGAGAAAAATCTTGGAATCATCCTGCTCAACAAACCAACAACCAGGGAACATACTAGGAGGGAAAATCCACCTGGCATCAGACTTATCTCTCAACACTAAATTTCAGGAAACAGTGCAACAGCCTCTCTACAGAATTTTAAGATGGAAAATTTGTGTCAGACATGCTCTATGCCAAGCTGTTGTTCTCACAGGAGGACTGCAGAAGCTTATTCTCATTCAGAGACTCAGAAAACATACCAGACATATGCCTTCCTGGAGAAAAAATTATTTTAAGAAATACTCCAGTCTCTCTAAGCATGTTAGTATAAAAGGAAACACACACACAAAAACACCTAGATATTATTACATACAATTTTCAAATGTATACAATGTCAAAAAATTCACAAATTAAAAGACAAATGAAAAATTAGAACAATACTTATAAAATATAAGGCAAAATTTAAATCCTCTAATTAACAAAGTTTCTACATAGCAATAAGAAAAATACTAACTTTTAAGGATCAAGAACATAACCAATATACACAAAACAGTTTCCTTTTCAGCAGTAACAAACATAAATTAACAATGCAATCCATTTATCATCCATCAAACAAACGCAGGTTAAAAGTGACAAAGGCTGGGTTTTAGCAAAAATATGGTGAAACAGGCATGTTAATTCACCAGGAGATGAAGTTACTAGAACTTCTCTGAAAGAAGTTGGCGGCATGTATAAAGCAACATTAAAATGTTTGTAGTTTTTAACTAGTAATTACATATCTGCAAATTTATCTTTTAAAATGATCAATTATCTGCTCAAGAATATATGTACAGAAATACTCATCACAGAGGTATTTATAAGAGCAAACACGAGGAAAGAAACTAAAAATCAAAAAATAGGGTATGTAAAAATATACTACATTCATACAACGAAATTTTGTGCAACAGTTAATGCACATATTAATAGACATATTTATTGGCAAGAAATATGTTTATGATAATCGGTTAAGCAACAAAAGCTGGTTACACAATAGTATGTATGAACCAATTTTGTGAATACGTATGTGTCTGTGTGCAAACAAAAAACAATTGGAAAGGTATAGGTCTGCATGTAGATGGTGGAATTATAGGTAACTTTTTTTTTCTCATTTTTCTTCATTGAATTTGCATCATGTGTGTACCAAACATTGTGATTCGAGATTTTGGAGATGTGTTTGTTCTATTTGTTTTGGTTTTGTTTTCAGCAAATAGCTAAGGAAACTAGTTAAGGAAAACCAATGCATTTTTTAATTTAATCTTTGCAAAAGCCCTCTGAGGTAAGTGTTATTAAAACCTGGCCTCACTTTACGGATTCTCAGAGAGGTTGAGTGGACTGCCCAAGGTCACACAGCTAACAGATGGCGGAATCACTGCCTGGCAGTGTAATCCTGAACAAGCCACTTGACCAGAGACACTGTAAATTATGATAGTAATGCTGTCAGGAAAAGCCATGTGCTTCAATGAGCTAAGGGCTGTGAAAATGTTGTGGACCCGTATGTTGAATTCCAGCCAGACAAAGCAGATTGACACGCGGCTTTGGCAGTACAGTAGTGATTGTTAATGAGTCTGCCTGAAATCCTTGTACTTGTCCTCCCTGTTCCTGCACCTGGCCTCAGAGTCCGAGGAAAGGAGCATCTCCCTTTACAACCTGGGGCTCACACTCTCTCCAGGAGGACAGTGGCTCTCTCTGCAGTGTGCTAAGTCTCCAGGAAAAAGAGGGGCCCACCCAGTGGACATTTTGAGAAAATCATTCCCACAAGCCCAACAGCCAGCCCCATTCTAGAGACTTAACAAGTGAAATTTGGATTGTAATAGATTTCATCTGCTGTTTACAGCGATGAACTGATCCAAGTGCTGTCGATCAGCATTTGTCGGTTTCGGTTTGGGTTACTCCCCACTCCCACGTTTTAGCAGTAAATTGTTTTGAGAAATGCCTGGGAGAATGGGCTGATGAGAAACCCAATCAGGCATAACAGGTAAATGGGATTCAGGAGTCTTATCAATATGGCAGTAATGCTATTGGTAGGAGGAACAAAATGACAGTTTTAGTATCGTTTTGTCACCTGTTATAAGCCTCTGGTGTTCGGGGGTTATTAAAATCTCTCTAGATTAACAGTCCTCTCCAAGCTAAAAACTGGCCCAGCCACTCCCTGCCTGGCCACTTCTAGGATACATACCACTTGATAAGAATAGGAGAAGGGACAAGAATAAGAGATTATTTTGCTTAGGATGTTGAAACAGAACATGAAGCTTTATCACCAAGTTATTGCCAAAATAATAACCACCAACCACTCCAAATCTCCAGTGACTTAAAACAATCATCATTTCTTCTCAACCTTGCATCCAAGGGTGGTCTGGGATCAGCTGTTTTCAACTGAGCTATGTTGGTGTTGGCTCCAAGCTTCAGGTTGGACCCAGGTGTGTGCCATGTGTCTCTCATTTTTCTT